AAGTGGTACTGTAGCTCAAGTGATAGAGTGCTTACCTTGGGCTGAAGAGCTGAGGGACAGTGCCTAAACCCAGAGTTCAAGCCCCATGACCGACAAAAAAAAAAAAAAAAGCTTCCATTAGAAAAAGCAAGCTCCTGGACTGGGAAGGTGGCTCAGTGGTAGAGCGCTTGCCTTACACGCCCTGGGTTCGATTCCTCAGCACTACATAAACAGGAAAAAAAAAAAAAAAGCTGGAATAGGTGCTATGGCTGAAGAGCTGAGAGACAGCGCCCAGGCCCAGAGTTCAGGCCCCACGACTGGACCAAAAAAAAGAAAAAGAAAAAGAAAAAGCAAGCTCCTGAAAAGAAACCTTAATACTAGAAAATGCAAAAATAAAAAATAAAATATAAAATGTCAGTTTGGGGCTTGTAATTCAAGGCCTGGGCGCTGTCCCTAAGCAATGTTTGCTTAAGACTAGCACTCCATCATGCTGAGCCACAGTTCCATTTCTGGTTTTCTGGTGGTTAACTGAAGGTAAGAGTCTGAGACCTTCTTGCTTTGAATTGGGATCCTCAGGTCTCAGACTCCTGAGTAGTTAGTATTACAGGCGTGAGCCACCAGCGCCCAGTAACAAATAGCAAATTTTATTCCAGAGAATACTATGAGGGATATAAAAGAAGGTTTTTGTTGTTTTGTTTTTTGGGGTGCTGGTCATGGGGCTTGAAGTCAGGGACTAGGTACTGGCTGCTATCCTTGAGCTTTTGTATTCAAGGCTAGTATTCTACCACTTGAGCTACAGCTACACTTCTGACTTCTCTTTTTTTTGAAGTTCACCTGTTGGACTATACTGCCCTGGCTAGCTTTCAACCAAGATCCTAAGATCTCAGCCTTCTGAGTAACTCGGATTATAGGTATGACCACCAAGGAGGTCAGACATTTAATAATGACAGATTTCTCACCACAAACAAGAGGCAAAAGCAGCATGGACAGTAAGAATAATGTGGAAATATATTATAAAACTTTATGTTGAGCTGGTGGTTCATGCTGGTAATCCTAGCTACTCAGGTGGCTGAGATCTGAGGATCATGGTTCAAAGCCAGCCCGGGCAGGAAAGTCCATGAGACTCTTATCTCCAAAAAGCCACCAGAAAACCAGAAGTGGCGCTGTGGCTCAAGCAGTAGAGCACTTGCCTTGAGCTGAAGAGTGCAAGGACAGCCCCCAGTCCCAGAGTTTATGCCCCACGACCAACAAAAAAACAAAAAAAAAAAACTTTATGTTAATAAACTTGACAATTTGGATGAAAGAGGACCTCCCCCTCCCCCCCAAAAAGCCCAATAATACCAAGCATATTAAATAATACCAAGCATATTAAGTAGATGGCTTATCCTCACATTAAAACACCACCCTGTAAAAAGAACACAGTACAACACACATGACAGCATGAAGAGATTTCATGATGTGTTTTCACACATCGTGACTATAACTCACAACTCGCACACCCTTCTAAGAGTGAAGACAGATATGGACCACCTGTAGGTGTGGGGAGCCAGGACAGATACATGAGCCAGAGCCCACTGGGAGTGATGGAAAACCACAGACTGGCCGTGAGAATGATTCTACACTTACCACACACATACCAAAACCACCAAACTTCAGATATTATTAAATACCTCGCAGAACCAGCACTGGGTCAAATATACTGCTGTGGGCCAAGAAGATAAGTGTGGTAGACAAATGGCAGAGAGGTACTGACAGTTTGCTCAGCACCCCTGGGTTTACACAGGGGCAGGCTTGTAGGAGCCCATGCCAGCCCAAAGGCCCTGCATGGCTGGAACAAAAGGCCCTACTATTTTATAACACAGGAAGTGGTCAAGGCTGTCCATCATTACCAAGTCTTTCTGGATGGACAGAATACGACTCCGGGCAGCTTCACAGTTGGCTCGCTTGCCTGTGATGACAATGGTCTCAGAGTTGCTGTTCTCTGCAGGAAGATCAATCTTGGTATTGCTTTCTTCACGAATCTGCATGTAGGGAACCAAATACGAAGAGCAGAGGCTTACCACAGCAGCTAGGCCTGAGCCCAGGGTTGAGGATAGGCCACACCTCCTCTCCACCTCTGAGGAGATGGCGCAGGGCCCTTGCTGGGGTTAAAGGCACTGACGAGGGGTGAACTAGTCACCTTCTTAATGTTTGCACCTCCTTTCCCAATGATGTTCTTGTGAAACTGCTTGAAGATCGGAACAGAAATTGAATAGCTATTTTCCACCTTAAAAACACAAAAGGATAGCAAAATTAGCCCTCCATGACAGAGTAAAGTCTTCCACCCCTGAAGCAGCATGAATTTGACAGGGCACCAGTATCAGCAGACACTCAAAGCTATGAGCCTTTCTTCCCATTGGCTTGACCTTTAGAGGTCTGTCATGGGGACAGACATCATTATGTTGTCCAACATCTGACTAATTTGGTGGAATGTCAGTCGACTTAAAGATCCTCTATGAAGAGTCACAGAAAATGTAGATGTATCTTCTACAGTCCAGAAGGCATTAAGTCTAGCCACAGGCCCTGAACTGTTCGGGCTCAAGGAATCATGCCACAGGCCGGGACCGCAGCTTAACAAGGAAGGGGCTCAGAATACCCATCAAACCAACACAGAGCCTCGTATTGCTGGAGCCCCTGGCCACCTCCTCTCTCTCGAGGCAGGCTTACTGGTACAGTGAAGCCTCCTCTGAGGATCATGGACACGTGGCAGGACCTTTCCAGTAACCTCTACTTCATGCTTTCTAGATCTTGGCATGGTTCCCTCTTGTGCTGTTACTCCTTCGTGTTTTCTGAGACAGGAGCTCACTCTGTACATAAGGCTGGCCTCAACTCACCGCCCCCTTACCTCTGCCTCCTGAACTCTAGGACTATCCTTTTGTTTGTCTTTCTACTTCAGTTTTTGAAGAATATGTTAAATCAATACATGACTCCTCATTTTACTTGTGTTAGCACTGTCCTTATCAGACCGGACAGCTCCTGAGCCAGGAGCTCCCATGGAATGCACGCCCCACAAAGGGTTGCACCAAACCCGTACCAGGTCTGCCACCATCTTCTGCATGTATTTTGTGCATTTCTCCACCTCATTCTTAGGCCCTCTGAGTTGAACAACGTCACTTTTTTGTGCTGGGTCTGGAAAGTTAATGATAACCTAGAACAAATCAGGAGACTGAGTTTGATTATCAGGCCTGGGTTCCAAAATACTAACAGAGGTGGGGGAGAAGGATGAAAGGGCTAACACTGACCAAGATGCATTATACTCACAAACTAACATGCTGAATTGAAATCCCTTTGTATAATTACATATATAATTAAATAAACTTTTAGAGCTGGGAAGGTGGCTCAGTGGTAGAGCGCTTCCTTCACATGCATGAGGCCCTGGGTTCAATTCCTCAGCACCACATAAGCAGAAAAAGCCTGAAGTGGTGCTGTGGCTCAAGTGATGGAGTGCTCGCCTTGAGCTGAAGAGCTGAGGGACAGCGCCCAGGCCGAGTTCAGGCCCCACCGCACAGGTCCAGTTCAGGCCCCACAACTGACAAAAAAAAAAAAAAAAAAAGGAACATTCCTAAAGGACAAATGAGCTTACTCCTAAGAAATCACATAAAGCCTGGGGGTTAGAGGCATAGTTTGGCTTGGTAGAGAGCTTGCTGGGTGAAACGATCCAGGGGAGCCCCACCCCAAAACAGGAACAAAAAAAGAATGTCTTTGGCAATCCTTTACCTCTGGGAATTTGTCACGAATTTCACGGATCCTTTCACCTTTCTGGCCAATGATTGTGCGATGAAACCTTTGCTCAATGATTAGATCCTTGGTACGCTCATTTTCCTAAAAATATAATTAAAGCAGATGATTCTATTATCACAAGTAGAGGGAGACTCCCTATCACCAGGAGATACTGGGAACCCAGAGACCACTGTTGGGGTAGCCATTAGAAAAACCACTAGGAAACACTGGCTCCACCCCCAAACACTACATACACCAAATCTCCATTTGCACTCAGTATGTGTTATATTCCGGAACAAAGTACAGGGCCTTTTAGCTGAAAGTGCTGTCCCAATAGTGACCATCAAAGTAACCCTGACAGTACTTCTCCCTCAGAATGGAGTGAGTCTAGCACTGTCCATATGGGCCCTGCCGCCTGAACCCAACTTCCCCGAGTGGATAATCAAGAAAGAATGGTTCATCCAACATGAGGCACTGGATGGGTGGTCTCCTCTGAGAGTCCCACTAAAACACCAGAAGAAAAAGCAAAGCAGAACCCAGGGAATAACATGACTAGTCTATCAAAAGTTCTGCAGAATTCCGGTGGTCAGATTGACATCTGGATGACAGAAATGAATGGTACAGTGCAGGCAGAAAACCCTGTAGGACAAGAGGCCCTAGGATAAAGAAAACCTAGGTCTGAAGAGTGAGGAACAGCCTGACTCAGGAGTGGCACTACTGAGTCTCAGGAGTGGCACTACTGAGTCTCAAGTCCGGCCACATGAGAGTGCTCTGGCTCAGAGCCCAGGAATGTTATCATCGCCTGTGGCAATGGCAACCAGGTCACATGGGACCTGGGGTACCACTGTGCTTCTCTACTGCTCAGGGCCAAAGGAAACAAGACATGCTGGTGATCTGGGAGGCAAAAGAAATGTGGCCATGAAAAGTGCATGGAGATACGACAAGGTAAACAGGACTTGAGCAGCAAAGGACTCCACTGAGTGTGTCCTATCATTTCTTTCCTTTTTTTTGGCAGTTGTGGGGTTTAAACTCTGGGCTTGGGTGCTGTCCCTGAGCTCTTCAGCTCCAGGTGAGCGCTCTACCACTTGAGCCACAGAACCACTTTTCATGTGCTTAATTGGAGAGCCTCAGATCTCAGCCTCCTGAGTAGCTAGAATAACAGGTGTGAGCAACTGGCGCCCAGATGTCATAACATTTCTAAATGATTCCATGTTCTTAATCACAGATATGGTATGTATATCTATCTATTTATCTATCTGCACATCTGAGGGAAGCCAGGAGGAGGGCACAGAATCAGAGGGAAGTGGGAAATAATACAACAGAGGGGCCCGTCAGCTGCACTAGGCATTGATGAAAACAAACTAAGCAATTCAAGGGCAGCGATAGGAGGGAGGGAAAGAGGGAACAGCTGACACTAAGCAAAAGGAAAGAAATGTGCATATCATCGATGTGAAAGATCACAGAATTCACAAACATTACAGATAATGACAAGCATTATAGATAATGACAATTTGCCTTGTGAATGTTAAAATGTGTTTCTGACTTTAAGTATCACTGTCTCACAACACTGTGAAATCTTAATCTCTAGAAATGTGGCCCCAGTAAGCCCAACCATGTGGGACTTGGTAACTCCCACTCTCTAGGCCACATACTTCGACACAGCTGCCGTAAGAAGCAGCCAACGGACAAAGACCTGTACCTCGCTGGCAGGACGGGGATGCTGGCTTACCATGCGAGAGGCGAGCTCCAGAAGCTCCCGCTTGGCCTGCTGCACACCCTGTGGGTCGCCCTCAATGCGGATCAGGTTGCTTTTCTCACTGTCAGGAGGGATGCGCACGGACACCTTGTACTGGTCTTTGATTCTGTTGACTTAGGACACAAAAGAAGCACATCTTGGGCACAGATGCTATGATGGTCCACCAATGACAGACAGCCAGAAGAGCCACGCTTCAACTACCCTCATCAGTCATACGCATCAATAAAAAAGTTTCCAAGACAGGATTTTGCACTGTCTAAAATGAGAACTGGTTATATATTCCTCAAGGTACTACAAGGTTTTGAGGGCACTGGCCCTTAGCCTTGATTACAAGTTGACACTGCCCTGAGAGCTTCGAATGACTGATGTCTGGGACTGAGTAGTTTGAAAGTTAGCTGGTTTGCATGTGGTTGGAACTTTAAATAAAGGTTCCAATATAATATATATTACATATATTTAACATGTACAATAAGTATAGATACTTTTTTTAAACCTCAATCATAGCACTCAAACTTGTTTGCACTAATATAACCTACAAATGAGGCAAAACATTACAGATATTCACTCAAGACAGGATTGCCTAAATAACTGTTGAAAAATATGTGGAAACCAAGCTGCTGTCAAGACTCAGTTACTGTCAGCTCTGATCAAACTGAACACTTTGTGTGCAAAACAAGTGGAGTTTCAAATTCTCTTCCTGCCACCTTCTCTGGAAAGAATCTGACACCAATGATCAAAATGCAGGTCCCCCAAACTCCAGAGTTTTTCCCTAGGAAATGAAGAAAGCGCATGCCCATTATAGAGTAAGAAAAGCAGGTTTCCTCAGAAGGGTGGGGCTGTGCATCCACTCTAAGCAGTGCATACTCCAGAGGAGGTAACGAGGCAATCTGGGACAGGGACTGACATGACACAGGGCAAGAAACAGCAAAAGCCAAAAGTGTTGGGGGCAGGGAGTAGATCTTAGATTATGGGCGAAATGAGGTTAGGAACTGGATCATAAGAAAATAGAGCAAAGAGAATTCTATGACCATGCTACGCTCAGAGGTTCTGCAATGCACAAGGAGTAGAAATCAGAAATCATGTCCGATCTGTACCATTCCACTTTTATTTTAACTGATACAATGAACAAAACCACAAAGCCAGGTCATGGCATGTGCATGGTTTGAGGAGTGCCTGAAATCAAGCACTGATGAGGACCACTCTTGTACCTATCATGAAAACGTCCCTCAAGAGGACACACTCACAGACACCATGGAGTACTTTGTGACCAAAGCAGACTGCAAAGAAAGGATCCTCATTGGCTGAACAACCCACAAACAGTAGTGCTGGCCCTCCTATACAGGAAGTAAAGCTGTTTCTACAATACTTAAGCATGTGATAGGTATGCATATGCATGTGGCTATGCAGTTAAGCAGAGGAAATGTTAAAAAGAATCACTGGAGCTGGGTATAGTGGCTCACACCTGTAATCCCAGCACTCAGGAGAAAAAAGGATTAGGAGGTCAAGGCCAATTTGAGCCACACAGCAAAAGCCTGTCTCAAAAAAACAAAATGCAGCTGGACACGGTGGCTCACGCCTGTCATCCCAGCTACTCAGGAGGCTGAGATCTGAGGATCACGGTTCAAAGCCAGCCCAGGCAGGAATGTCTGTGAGACTCTTATCTCCAACTAACCACCAGAAAACTGGAAGTGGCTCTGTGGCTTAAGTAGAGGAGCACTCGCCTTGAGCTGAAGAGCTCAAGAGCTGAAGAGCTGCCCAGGCCCAGATTCAAGCCCCATGACTGATAAAACAAAAAACAAAACCCAAAGTGCTGTGAGTTCAATTCCCTGCATAATACAAACAAACACACTTGGATCACAGCAAGTGAGTATTCACTGAACACATATCCAAAAATATCCCATTCTACACTGTCCCTACAATTTGACAAGTCAAAAAGCCAAGTCTGAGCTCACTCAACAGTATTCCTCTCTGAACTGGGAAGTGACGCAGAGAGGCCTACAAACACTTGTGGGTCTGAGAGTAAGTCTGGCTGAGATTAAGTGTCCTTGGTGTGCCTACTACATACCCCTGCGGTCTTCCGGGGAGGGTGGATTAGGTTGATTTCTCAAAGTGACAGCTCTCTGATAGGCCTAAAAGCTTTAAAAGGAAAATAGGCCTCTCCTGGCAGGCGAAGAAGGCTGCTGTGACTGCAGCTTCTGACTCGAAGTGAAGGCCTCCTCAGAATCTCAGAAAGCCCTGCTCACCACACCCGAGCCCCACCTACTACCCTTCACAGCCTCACTCACTGTTGGCTCCATTCTTCCCAATGAGGTGTCTGTGGAACTTGTGGTCAATGTTGATCTCCACATAGTCCATCCGGTTAATCTGTGGGAGGAGCATAAAGACGGTCAGCAGACAAGTGCTGGGGTTCCTGAGTATTTAGCCAAGGAGCCAGACCCCAAATCCAGAAAATGTTACTCCACCTTGAGTGACACAGGTTTTTCAAAATCGCTCCTCTATCACTTCACAGACTCCTAGGATATCAGCTAGCTTCAAGCTGTTTAAGACCCTCTTAGCCGGGCGCTGGTGGCTCACGCCTGTAATCCTAGCTACTCAGGAGGCTGAGATCTGAGGATCCAGGTTCAAAGCCAGCCCGGGCAGGAAAGTCCATGAGACTCTTATCTCCAATAAAGCAAAGAAAAGCAGAAGTGGTGCTGTGGCTCAAGTGGTAGAAGAGCTCAGGGATAGCACCCAGGGCCAGAGTTCAAGCCCCATGACAACCAAAAAAAAAAATCAGAACCGAGTACTATGGCTCATGCAACATAGCTATATAAGAGGCTAAACTCTAAGAACTGAAGTTTGAAGCCAGGCTAAGCTGACAAATATGTGATTTGATCTTAACATCAATTAACTATAAAAAAAAAAAAAGCATGAAGTAGAGGCATATCATGTGGTAGAATACTGGTCATGAGCAGAAGAGAGATAAAGAAAGATGAGAAAGCCAGGTGCCAGTGGCTCAGGCCTGTAACCCTAGCTACTCAAGAGGCTGAGATCTGAGGATCTCAGTGGGAAGCCAACCTGGGCAGGACAGTCTATGAGAAACTGGAATTAGAGGTGTGCTCAAAGTGGTAGATCACTAGCTTTATGTGAAAAAAAAAAAAAAAAAAAAAACAACCCCAAACCTCAGGTACAACACCCAGACCCAGAGCTCATGCCCCATGACCACCACTACCACCAACAAAAATCACATTAGGAGGTAAAAAAAAATGGATCTGACAAAATCCAATACTCACTCCTCCCAAAACTGTATAAACTCAGAGACAAAGGGAAATTCTACAGCGAGCAGATCACACTATAAAAGACACGCAAGGTAAGAGCATGCCCTTAGCTCTGTTTCTAGAGAGCTCTAGGGGGCCTGCACAAGACAAGACAAGAGTACAACTCATAGATGACAATTCGGGGGCGAGGGTGGGCGTGGGAGGTATTGGTAGTGGTCCTAAGGCTGGAACTCAGGACCTGGGCACTGCACCTGGGCTTTTTTTGCTTAAAGCTAGTATTCTACCACATGAGCCATGGAATCACTTCTGGCTTTTTCTGGGTAGTTTATGGGACATAAGAGTCTTTAGGATTTTCTTGCCCGGGTTGGCTTCCCACTGTGATCCTCAGGTCTCAGCTTCCCGAGTAGCTAGGATTACAGACGGGAGCCACCGGTGCCTGGCTAGATAACAGGATTTCTATTTGTGTTTTCTCCAGTACAAAAAAAAGACTACAAATAAAAAGTCAAATTTTATTTCCACAGGCTAACAACAGTAACTAGAAAAACAGAACCACTTATAGTATCACTGAAAAACATGTAACAGGAATAAACCAATACCACACATTTAAAATCTGTATGTGGAAACCTACAAAGCACAATGAGTTCACAAAACACACACACACAAAACAAAACTGGAGATAAATGGGTTAAAGTCTAAAAATTGCTAAGATGCAAACCCCTCTGATTCGATCTCTACCACAATTCCAACCACATCTGACAAGCTGATTCTAAAATGTGTACAAGGGCCAAGGATCTGGAACAGCCAAGCAGTTTAAAAAGAATGCTGAAGGGCTCTTCCCAGGAAGCTGGCTATCACAAACAGTGGTGATACCATATATTGATGGTAGTGGACCACAGCGACTATATGTTTGTCAAAACTTACAGCAGCAAGAACTCAAGAGTGGTTGAAGTGGAAGAATGCTTGCTTTATGTGCCAACACAAACAGCCAGGTGCTTGTGGCTCATGCTTATACTCAGAAGTCTGAGATTTGAAGTTTGAAGCCAGCCTGGGAGAAAAAAATCTGTGAGACTATCTCCAACTGATCGCAAAAAAGCTGGAACTGGAGGTGTGGCTCAAGTAGTATAACATCAGTGCTAAGCTAAAAAGCCAAGTAAGTTCAAGCCCCTGGAGCGGCATAGGAAACAAACAAAACCTACCAAGAAAGTCCTTCCACTGACTGTAAAGCTGTACCTCCCTGCTCACCAAACAAACAAGCCCTTGTAATAAACCAAAGAACAAATTTTCTTTGTCTACACAGGCATTTGTACTAGGAAGTCGCAAGCAAGGGTAAGTCAAAGAGACAGAAAGGCCCATCAAAGGGTTGTTTCCTGACCCAACACAAGGCAGGTCTTCAGGATTACCTACAGAGCGGAGGGAGCAACGGCAAGGGCTTACCTTCTCTTCAGCCAAGTGTAGGAGCTGCTTCTTGGCCTTTTCCACATCTGAGGAAGGGCCCCTGATGACAACTGTGTCGCTTCCAGAACCTTCCACGGGAAAGTGAATGTGGACCCCACCACACTCCTCCATGATGGAGCGGATCAGACGCCCCTTTGTGCCAATAAGGGAGTTGTGCAGTTTGGCAGGGATCGAGACCTCCACCTCGGCTATGTTGGCCTGAAACCAAACACATGTCAGGAGAACATCACACACGGAGCTCTGCCACGTTGGGAGATGTCTGAAGAATCAGAACCTGTAGCCTCTCAGAGGTGTGCTGAGGCTGTGGGAGCCGGGGGACCAAGAAGCAAAGCCTCAACTTAGACCACACAATACAGGACTCTACTTCTTTAGTCAGTTCTGGCACTAGCTAGCCGAGGCAAGCACAATATGGCTAAAGATAAACTTTCCTATTAAAAAAAAGATTCTGGCTGGGCGCTGGTGGCTCATGCCTGTATCCTAGCTGCTCAGAAGGCTGAGATCTGAGGATTGTGGTTCAAAGCCAGCCAGGGCAGAAAAGTCCTGGACAGACAGTTATCTCCCATTAACCACTCAAAAACCAGAAGCTGCACGGTGGCTCAAGAGGCAGAGCACTAAGCCTTGAGCACAAAGAGGCTCAGGGACACTCCCATACCCTGAGTTCAAGTCCCAAAACTGACAAAAAAAATAAAAATAAAAATAAAGAAAACTAGAGGACTTGATTCTTGAAAAGATGAAACAGCAGAGGCGATGTTGTCTTCTATCTAAAATTACAGTTCCAGATAATGGTGGCAGGAAACACGGGGAGCTGTAAGCCTGTCAGGATAGGATGCTGCAGTGTGGAGCGATGCGGGCACAGCCAGTAGCCAGGGGCTCAGGCAGCAGGAAGACTAGTTCACAGCCCAAAGCACATAGCACGAAGAGAGCAAACACCCGGTACTCAGCAGTCAGAAAACAGCCTGTTTTCTGAGCAGTTGGTACAGTGAGCAAGGAGGGCCTAGCCTCAGCACTGGTAGACATTTGGGCTTGGATGCAAAACAGCTCTGATCCTATTTAACAAACTTCTGAAGCCCACAACAGTCATCCAGCTATGTAGGAAGGAGAAATAGAATGATTGCAATCTAGGCTGGCCCAGATAAAAATGCATGCCAAAGACTGATCTCCAATTAACTACTAGAAAACCGGAAGCAGTGCTATGGCTCAAGTGGTAGAATGCTTGCCTTGAGCTGAAGAGCTGATGGACATCACTCAGGCCCAGAGTTCAAGCCCCATGACCGACCAAAAAAAAAAAAAAAATGAACCCAGCTGGATGCCAGTGGCTCATGTGTGTAACCCTCGCTACTCAGGAGGCTGAGAACTTAGGAAAATGATTAGAAGCTACCCAAGCAGGAAAGTCTGTGGGACTATCATCAATTAACTGCCAAAAATGCCAGAAGTATGGGGCTGGGAAGGTGGGTCAGTGGTAGAGTGCTCATCTTGCATGCATGAAGCCCTGGGTTCGATTCCTCAGCACCATATAAGCAAAAAAGAAAAAAAGCCGTAAGTGAGGCTCAAGTGGTACAGCGCTAGCCTTGAGCTAAAAAGCTCAGGGACAGTGCCCAGGCCCAGAGTTCAGGCCCCAAGACTGGCAAAGGGAGAGAGGAGGAAAAGGGGCAGGGGCAGGGGAAGGGGAGGGGGAGGGAGACTGGAAGAGGGGGGAGAGACCCTATGAAAAATGACTAAAACCCAAAAGACTGAGGAAATTGCTCAAGTGGTAGAATGTCTACCTAGCAGGAACCACCCCTAATCTCTCTCTCTCTCTCACACACAGACACATACACTAAAAGAAAAGTATCTCAGCATAACATTGGCTCAAAATTCTTTATACAGCAAAAGTAGGCAATTAAAAATATAATACAAATGAGGCACTGATGGCTCATGCCTATAATCCTAGCTACTTAGGAAGCTGAGATCTGATGGTCAACGTTGGAAGACAGCCCAGGAGGCAGGAAAGTCTATGAGACATTTTTTTTTTTTTGGTCGGTTGTGGGGCTTCAACTCTGAGCTTGTGTGCTATCCCTTCGTTCTTCAGCTCAAGGCGAGTGCTCTACCACTTGAGTCACAGCGCCACTTCCGGTTTTTGAGTGTTTTATTAGAGATAGGAATCTCATAGTCTTTCCTGCCTGGGCTGGCTTTGAACCATGATCCTCAGATCTCAGCCTCCTGAGTAGCTAGGATTACATGCGTGAGCCACCAGCGCCCCCGGCTGTATGAGACATTTTGTTGTTGTTGTCGTCAGCCCTGGGGCTTGAACTCTGGGCCTGGGTGCTGTCCCTGAGCTCTTCAGCTCAAGGTAAGCACTCTACCACTTGAGCAACAACACCGCTTCCAAAAGTGTAACTGGACAGGTCCTTTTCTTTTTCCTTTTTGGGTCGATTGTAGGGCTTGAACTCTGGGCCTGGGCACTGTCTCTGAGCTCCAGCTCAAGGCAAACATTCTATCACTTGAGCCATAGAGACACATCTGGATTCTGGTGGTTAATGGAAGAGTCTCACAGACTTTCCTGCCCAGGCTGGTTTGAACCAAGATCCTCAGATCTCAGTCTCCTGAGCAGCTAGGATTACAGGAGTAAGCCACCAGCGCCCGCCAGGTTGAGACCCTTATCTCTGACTAACCACCAAAATGCCAAAAGTAGAGCTAAGCTATGGCTCAAGTACAGCACTATTCTTGAATAAAAAAACTCAGCGCCAAGGCCCTGATTTCAAGCCCTAGGACGAGCAAAAACAAAAAGAAAACAACGAGGGGAGAGGGGGAAAGTGATAGGAAGAAGAGAAGGGGGTCGGAGGGAGAGGGAGGGAGAAAGGGAGAGAGACAGAAAGACAGAGAAGAAACAACAAAAACAGCCCAGAAATTAGCAACTAAAATTTGATGAAAATTCAAAACTTGAGACCTACATATCTAAGTAGCTCTAAGAAACACAAAGACACATCCGAACATGTTTAAAGCTGGTGACAGAGACCTGTACAGCATGGGTGGCTCAGGCCTGCAAGCCATACTGGGCAGGAAAGTCCATGAGACTCTTATCTCAAATTACCCATCAAAATGTCAGTAGTGGGGCTAGGAATGTAGTGGTAGAGTGCTTGCCTAGCATGCATGATCCCTCGGTACCACATAAACAGAAAAAGCTGGAAGTGGCACCGTGGCTCAAGTGGTAGAATGCTTGCTTTGAGCAAAAGCAGCTCAGGGACAGTGCCTAGGCCCTGAGTTCAAACCCCAGGACTGACCCCCCCAAAAAAAAGCCAGAAGTAGAGCTGTGGCTCAAGTTGTAGGGTGTCAACCTTGAGCAATAAACCTAAGGGGCCAGAACCCAGGTGCTGAGTGTAAGGTCCAGCACCAGCACATGTGTGAGCACATGTGCACAAACACGAGACAAACAATAAACCAACAGGTAAGACAGACCACACACACCTCACAAGGAGCCTTCAACGTGGGGAAAGTGGACTACACATCACACAAGGGAGTGAATTACTCTAGAATGGCAAACCCTACATTATATAAATAACCATGAACAAACTACTGTGGGTGTGGCTAACACATGGACTTAAAGGCAAGAACTGGGAACAAAGTCAGGAGCAGGGGTAGAACCTGGCACAAAAGTCACTTGGGGTACATTGTGCAACTTGACTAAACCAATCAGTAGTACAAAAACTGTGGTTGGGTTGGGAAGGTGGCTCAGTGGTAGAGCGCTGGCCTTGCATGCATGAGGCCCTGGGTTCAATTCCTCAGCACCACATAGCAGGAAAAAAAAAAGCCAGAAGTGGCGCTGTGGCTCAAGTGGTAGAGCGCTAGCCTTGAGCTGAAGAGCTGAGGGACAGTGCCCAGGGCCAGAGTTCAGGCCCCTCAACTGGCAAAAACAAAAACAAAACAAAAAAAGGTAGTTATCATGGTCCACTCTATTAATCATAGCTTACTAAAATAAAAATATGCACAGGAAGGAACTTCCTGAACAGAGTCCCAGGGTCACAACAAATTGGAGAGAGACTCGACAAATGGGACTACCTTAAAATAAAAAGCTTCTGCACAGCTAAATCTATCGCAACCAAGCTAGAAAGACAACCAACTAACTGGGA